AACTATGTCATAACAAAAAGATTATCGAACAAACTTTTGCTGATAGTTTAAGAAATGATAAACGCCTCGATTGTTCTACTTGTCTACAACTTTATCTAAGAATAAATATATCACATTTGACTGACCTTATAATTTGATAATATATTTTATAGAACAATTAATTTTGACCCAAAACTTTAGAAATAAAATTAAATTAATTTAGTTCAGTTTATCACTTGAAAATTGATAAAAACAATCGGTAATTATAAGTTCAATATTGTGAGAAATGAGAATTTGTACATAAAGATTTGTATGATTCGCCATGTATATTATAAGCCTTTATTCATTTTTCTAAGACGTTTTTTTATTTATTTATTTTTAATTTTTTAATTAAAACCTTTGCATACAATTTTATATATTTGAAAATATTTTTGAGTACATCGAGTTTTCAAATTCGATTATTAGTTTTTTCGGAGCCATTTTGAAATATTTTTACTCTCATTTTTTTTACAATACAGAGAGATCTGTGTGCCTCTTCTCAATCATTGCCATTTAATTATTCCAAAATTAGTTTACGCAAAGCCGTGTGATTTTCTGACTTTTCCTAATCTGACTCTATTTAAAGCTTTATTATTAGCTGCATTTGTGATGCAAAGGGGCCTGAGTGAATCGTCTCATTTATTGTTCTTCAATAATTCTGAAAATAATTTACGCAAGGCTGTGTAAGTTTCGTATTTTTCATAATAAGAAGCTATTTAACACGTTGAATGCCATGGGGGTCACCGGTGACCGGCAAAGCCAAGATTATTAGAAACACATAATTCGAGTAAATTTTAAATTTTTTTATATTATTACCGTTACTAAAATGGCTTGAAGAAATTAATGCAATGCAGAAAACACAAAAATAGTTTTATTTATATACACAGAGTTGCCAACTTGCTCCGGACAGCGAATAAATATTTTCAAGTGGCAGTTTATTAATTGTGATTCTTGGTTTAATAAATTCAATTTAGTAGATTTTTATCCACTATTATTTCTAAACAATTCGTAGGCTTATATAATTCCCCACTTTTTTTAGATACGTCATGCTAAACTTTTTAAAAAACTAGCAAAATCTTTTTAATATTTTCAAATTTAGTTTGTAGTTATTTACCCCGTGGCCAGACGGGCAAGTCATGTAAAATTAGCGTGCCATTCAATGTGTCAAAGCTCTAGTATTAGCTGCATTTTTTATGGAGAGGGAACTGTGCGACTCTTCTTATTTATTCTTAATAAGTAATTCCGAAACTAATTTAAGCTAAGTCATGTAATTCCGATATTTTCATAACATGAATCTATATAAGTGCTTGTCAAAGCTTTTAGGTTTCAGCATCATAGGAGGGAAAATATTGAAACTTTTACATAGAATGACGTCAGAGACCAGAGTGGCCCTTCAGATATTTTGCAATATTACGGAAAAGCTTATCGTTTTTTGCAACCGCTATAACACATCTTTAAAACATTAAATCGAAATTTTGATATATCATCTGTAAATGTGTCTATTTAATATGTCGACTTTACCGGGAATAAGGAACTTCACAGAAGAGCTGCGTGTTTCATCGTATTATCAAAAAAATGCAGCTAAAACAAACCAGCTGAGTATTGTGTAAACAGGTAAGCCAGCACTCTAAAAGAGTAGTAAATAAAAGGTTACGAAATGAAATAATGCTTGCTACTCACATCCGTATGGCAGCAAATGTGTTTCAAATAAAGTGAGGGTTTATTGATTGTTTCAAAAACTGTTAAAAAAAATGAAAATGAAGCAGGTTAGTGTCACAAAATTTTCAATTTCAATAGTTAAAAAATTGTGTATTTCAGTTTATTTTTTTTAAATCTATAATTACTACCTTTTATAAAGAGTAGAAACTCAACAACTTGATCTACAAAATTTTACTGTAATTAAAAAGGTCACAATATTCAATTTTATCAGACATTTTCATTAACTAAATAGAAAAATAAAATCTTATGCAATTCTAGTGAACAAACTTCTACTATACCTATTAAATTATTTTTTTTTATTATATTTCAATATTTTAAATGCATATTTTAAATCTATATTTAAAAAATCTAAGAAGAATCACATTGCTCCCTTTCGTCTTTACCGGAAGCCGTCTTTTTGGGGAAGTGATTTTCAGTTTTTCTATAGTATAAAAATAGTATAATGGTATAAAAATATTTGTAGGGCTGGAAAGATTAAAAACAATATAGGACGACGATGGTTTATGTTTTTCGGCATTTATTAAAATCGTGTTCTCTTTTATTTAACCTATTTATTTTGAATCCTTATTTTAATTAGGAGTCGAGATTTTGCAGAGATATTAGAGAAAATACAAATGTATTTTTATTTTAATTTTTAAAATTTTCAACAGCCTCTGTGCTACATGAAGAAGTTGTAGAAATGTTTTTAAATAATATAGCCAATCTGTCTTTATTTAACTTCTATATATTACTTAAAATATCTTGCCTTTTTAAAAAAAATTTCAGTGATTCATATACATTTTTATTTATAAACTTTTCACAAATTTCATTAGCTATACTATAGAATGCGATTAAAAATGTTTAAGAAAGGTTTTAAGATCTCATGTACACTTTACATGTCATTTTTACCTCTTAATATTTTTTTAAGTATTCTTCATTGTTAGATTCTAAAATCACGGTAAAATAGCCGGCTGCAGTATATCCATCCAATTAGAGCTTTTCTTTATGATTTTGAAATCGTTTACAATGATAAAATTCAAAAAAAAAACGGGAATATAAAACTATACGGTTTTGTAACCATTTACGACTAGTAAGGTTTTGAATTTAACTGGACATTTGAATTAGATTATATTTTGCATTTCATTAGATAAAGAGCATTGGAATTAAGTTGTGGTTGAGCTGCGTTTTAACAAATGAAACATGGAATGTGGCTTTATTCGTTTGTCTGGTGGTGCCATCTATCGGAAGAGGTAGAAAATACTAAACTTTTGCTAAGCAACTTTGTGGGGCTACCATCTATGCGTATATGAAAGTTTCGTATTCAGATATTCCAGGATCTCCAGTAGCAAAGCGCAAGACTTCATGTATTGAAGAAATTGGAAGAAGTAGTGTAATGTCAACGCTGATATTTGAGTCCCATGTGTAGGAAGTAATGAAATTAACAGATTAGCCATCGTGGCTAAAGTATGTACCCATCTGCAAGAAACTAAGCAATTTCATAAGGCAGACTTAATTGAAGAAGATAAAATACAGGTTCTTTAACCCTATCAAATGAAGTCACTAAACGATTTTTCGCACAGTTAACAGTTTCAGTAATATCTTTTTATGGCTATTTGGCTGTTTTTGTTGAATATGGTAAAATAGCAATTAAATAAATTGTTACTAAACCATTTTTTTACTAGAAATTTCTAACAGTGTTTATAGTGAAGACTTCCTTCACTAAGAATTTCAGTTTAGATAAGTTTGGAGAAAACGCAAAAAAAAGCATCTAGAGTTTTTTTAAATTTTTATAAAATTTCCATATACATCTGCAATATATTTTTAAGAATACGATTTTAAACAATACCAGTAGTCATTTGAAATATTTGATTGAGTTATTCCTAATAAATAAAAAAGCTAAAACTCTGTCAAAAATGGTCATTAGAAATAAAATGTATTTAGAATTTCGATAACGTGTTAAAAGAGCTCCATAATTCAGTTCTTTCTCATTCTGATAGAGATGCCATACTCTTTTTAAAAATTACATTCATCAAATCCTGTGATTTGATTAAAATATTAATTATTTAATTTAAAAACTAGTGTTTCTAGTATAAATTTAAAAAATTATATTATAGTCATCCATTTAGATATAAAAAAGATTATATTCATTCATTTAAGTAAATTCATTCAATTTTTTCATTCATTAATTCATTCAATTTTTTTTTGTCACCGTCGTTGAACAGAAGACCTAATTTTTGGGTTTACGACTACTAATGTTCAACTTGGTAGTCTAATAATTTTGAACCCAATCCAGAAGACAAGGGAACTCCTGGATCAAATTTTGGGAGAAATTTTGTCTCCGTGAAGGACTTTTTTGATGGACCTAACCCGCATTTGCGTTACATGGAGACGAAAGCCACGAGAACATCCCACGGTTAGCCTGACGGCACAGGGACTCTACCCCATGATCCGTTTACCGCTAAGGATATTTCACGTCAGCTTTGTGGTCGGTTCAAGATGGATGCGGATTCATATTGACCAGCCATCTCAGGGATTCGAACCCGGTTCACCTCATTAGATGGTGAATGCTCTATCCCCTGAGCCGTAGAGGCTCTAATTCATTCAATTCATTCATTCATTAATTCATTCATTCATTCATTCATTCATATACAGAGATTAAAAATATTAATTTTTCTTACCTTCTCCCACTTCTATCAGCAAAGTCGTTTGTAAACTTCTTATTTAATCTTGCCGTTTAGCGCATAAGGCATCCAGCCTATACTTTTACATGGCACCCCGTCTTTGAGTTCGGATCTGACTTCCTCTAATCCTTTCAATTTTACTCTTTTAAAATCCGCCTTCATTTATCTCTGCGAAGTCATTCCAGGTCTTTCCCTTTTTCTTTTCCCACCAGGGGCCCAATAAAGATAAACATGTACTAATTTTTCTCTTTGAATTCTCAGTAAGTGACCCGTCCTTTTCCTCCTACTCTTACACTCTAAAATATGGATACTCAAATATCACGAAACTTTCGCCGTTTTTGATTATACCGTTTCCTGGTATATGATCCGAGCAAAAATCTCGTCAGAAGGATCAAAATAACTATCGTTACTTCTTCGATATTACGAGTTTCGTCAAGATCAAAAAATATTTCGTCATTTTATTTTATTTTTTTACAAAAAACAACAACTTCGTGGTGACTAATGTATCTAACTTTTTTAAGAATCACTTTATCGTGAGTCTCGCCCTAACAACACAAGAAGGACAGATAGAACAGAGAGATAAGTTACACCCATGCCCGAAGCGGGATTCGAACCGGAATTCTGCCTACCATTGCCTTTAACCAGCATACAGGCCTCTTACTCATCACTTAATTCATCACTTTATTTTTGATCGTGAAGTTTTCATCTTAGTTTTGTCATTCTAGTTAATAATCTCCCACAATGCACTACGATGAAGTTTCTCGCGTTGAGGAAACATTTTCGCCATATATTTGAGAGTTCGTGTTTTGTGACAAATCACGTAATTTCGTGACGAAATGATTCTCAAAATTAAGGAAATACAGTTCAATGATTTCTGAATCTTCAAAAGTGAGAGTTTTATTTCTAATAATGTACTAACTTCCTCTTTTATTGATGTTCGGCTCACTTTTTCTAATATTCTTTCGTTCCTAATTTGAACAGGACAAAAGTATTTTGAAAATTTTTTTGAGACAATTATTTTGAAAAATTTCAAGTTTTGGACTTCCTAAGACATCATGTCTCTGAGCCATATCATGAAAATTCATTTTTCTTATATCTATTTTATTATTGCTTTTTTTTTCTTAATAAGGAATGAGATTAAGCTCATTTCTTTTAAATAAACAGATAAATCATTTATTAGTCGAGCTATAATAAGTTCTGTTTAATATATTTTTAGAAATTCCGAACAAAAATTCCTAAAATCAAAACGGATTAAAGATATGATAATAGGTTATCGGTTGGTGATAAGAAAACTGCTATTAGAGAAACAAACTTAACAGAAATGTAATCTTTCATGCAGATCTTTGTTGGAGCTTTAGCTATAGAATAGCTATAATTTGCTTGTTTTTTTAGACATTTGAATTAATTTGTATTCATTTGTATAATTGTATTTTTAGACTTAGTATTCGAAATCAACCTGACGAGATTACTGGCATTAAATACAACTTGAATACAAACAATGGATTCAACTGTAATAGTTATTGGAGCAGGTCTTAGCGGTGAGTCTTTTATATCTTTCATTATTTATATTCAGATAATTGATATAATTATTTCTTATTTCTAAAATTTTAAAAATAAATTAACTGTATGCCTCAACTTACACTGCTGGAATTATGATTCTAATATTACGGAAAAATTACCGTAAGCAGTCTGCCCATCCAATTCATCTCAATGTTTACGGTTAGAAATATTTTTACTTTTACTATTCTGAAACCTTTTACAACTGGTATGGTAAAAAAACCGTGAGAACAAAACTATATGACTTTTTCTCATTATAATTATAATTATAAATTATTGATTTCTTATATATATTTCTTAATTATAAATAATAAATAATTAAGAAATATACATTAGAAATAATTAAAAAATATATATTAAGAAGCCGGAAAACAAAAAAAATTGAAAAGATATTCATCAGCTCACACGATTATATCTGCAAAAAGGAGTGCTTTCTAATATTGTATCAATATAGCCAAGGCAAAATATATCAATAAAATAATGTGAGAAGCACTCAAAAATTTGAAGCTAAATCGAACACATTAAGTAATAAATATATATCACGCAAAAAACAGAAAATAAAATGTAAAGAAAAAATTAATTGCTAAAATAAAACAAATAAGTATTATTGATTTTTGAAACTATAATTTCTGCGTAATATTGTTCATAACATTAAAATCTATTGTTTTTCACAAACTACATACATTGTGAAAAATTTGAATTGTTATACTACTAAAATTAAGTATTATTAGGTTTTCTAGATTTTAATAAAATTAATTTAAAAAAATTATATTTTATTGACGCATTATACCAAATCTAAATATACAAACAAAGGTTATTCCTTATTAAAGTGACTATAACTAGACTGTAATATTTTTTTTCTTCGTGTGCTAGAAATCATTTGTCTCGTGTAAAATTTCGGACAATTCAAAGCGGAAAGTTTCTGTGAAAATAAAATAAAAATATTCACAGAAAAGTTAGAATAACCTTACAAGAATGAAGAAAGTAAAAATCTTTAAATTATGTTCCAGTTCTTATACATTAATCCTTTTCTGACTCGGAAACACTCCGATACAACACCACTGGAACACAAACTATTAAGACGAGATCGAAAGTGCACGGGGAATTGAACCCTGGCCGAAGACGTGGCATGTGAAGCCTCTACCCACCTCTGTCGTTACTCTGTCGACAAGAACATTGCTTAGATGCGTTTTGAACAAAAACTTACGCAATTTTACAGATATTCTTGTTTTTATCCCTGTATTTTAATGGAAATTTTTTTACTGCGCAATTATCCAGTTATTATGATAATATTTCTCAGAAACTATTTTAGACATATTACCCGAAGATACAGCACCGTAAGAAATTTCGGATCAAATTACGGTAAAAATTATCGACCACTCAGGATGTCCCGTGAAATCCATTTTTATCGTAACATTTTTTGGAACAAAAATCTGATATATCATAATTTTTACAGTAATTCCCTGACGTAAAATTTCACAATATTATAATGTGTAATTAAAATTCCTAAATTACTGTACGTTTTAAGAAATATTTACTGTAAAATCACTGATTCATTGTAAATCAATAAATATTACTGTAAGAATTATGGAAAGGAATTTTATGTTAAAAATGGATTTTACGGATGATGCATTCAAGGTGCTTTTCAATGTAATTTATTTCGGAATTTTTTACGGTGTATATGAATAATAACATTCACTGGAGAACCTTGGCATTAGCCAGACATCTGTCTAGCAATTGTTATTATTATTCTAGGTCTAAGTGCAGCTAAACTTTTGAGGGAATCTGACATCAATGTGATTGTTTTGGAGGCACGTGATCGAGTAGGAGGTCGCACTTTGACGAAATATGTAATATTTTTTGCAATATACTTGCTTTTTAATTTATTATTAACTTAATTTCCTTAATTGTTCGATCGTTTTACAATAACTTTTAACTACAGGATCCCAAAGTTGGTTACGTAGATTTAGGTGGTGCTTATGTTGGTCCAACACAGAACCGAGTTTTTCGAATGGCAAAAGAGCTTGGTATTGAAAATTATAAAGTAAATGAAGTTGAAGATGTAGTTCTTTACAAAAATGTAAGTTCACGTTGTTTGTTTCTTAATAAATTACCAAATTTTGACCGTATACTTTTCAATAAAGCGTAATATAATATAATAATTTGTATAATAATTTAATCGTTAAAATATTAGAATCAATCTTTAAAATTATAGATATATGTTGGATTAATATATTAGATATTGAATATTAGATTATTCTTAGAATCGTTAAATTTTAGATTTTTATTAGATTAAAATATTATATTATGAATATTCTTAGAATCGTTAAAGTTTAGATTTATGTTAGATTAAAATACTAGATTAAAATATTAGATTTGGAATATTCTTAGAATCGTTTAAGTTTAGATTTATGTTAGATTAAAAAAATACTAGATTAAAATATTAGATTAAATATTAGATTTAGAATATTCTTAGAATCGTTAAAGTTTAGATTTATGTTAGATTAAAATATTAGATTAAAATATTAGATTTAAAATAAAAGATTACTCTTAGAATCGTTAAATTTTAGATTTTTATTAGATTAAAATAATAGATTTAGAACATTAGATTATTCTTAGAAACATTAAATTTTAGATTTAAAATTGATTTATTGTGCGTAAATAGAGCAAATTATTTCCTGATGTTTTGTAATCATAAACCTTAATGAACTGTTTTAGATTTCTTGACAAAAAAGAAGTCTACCTAGAAGTATGCACATTACTATTCGCAAATTGATAATATAAAAACAAAAATATTACCAAATTCTGACGTACTGAGGAAGGCCGGGTAAAAAATTCTAAACTAGAGTGGTTGCCGTGAGAAACTTGCAAGTTGTTTCTACACGAAAAAAAAAATTCTGGAAAAATTACCGTACTGCATGGTAATGACATTTATCGTTTGAAAAAAACATAATTTTAATTGTAAAAACCAAAACAGGCGGTATTTAACCATTTATTTGGTAATTTTTCCGTCCTGGTAACGATTTACCGGAAATTCTGGTTTTCAAATTTACAGTTCTTATTGCCACATATTTAGTAAAAAATTCAAATTTTAAGAGTAATTTTCCCCAAATGAATGATTTTCAAGCCATGCTTTAAGGAAGCATGATAAAATTACCGAACTTTACCACTTTTACCAAATTTTATCGCCTATTATAAAATCTTATTTAATTTTGCCAAAATTATTACCAAAGCTCTTCGGTAAAAATTGCCGAGCATTTTGGTGTTCCCATAGAACCAGAAACACAGTTAATCTTACCATATTCTACTAGTTTTGAAGACACTTTTTTTCTCGATGTAGTAGTCACTTCTTCTATCTTATCAGTTTCTTTCAGCAAACGAGGTGACTTTGATCTCTTAAATCCTGCCTTCTTCATAAAGTTTTTATAACCATTTTTTTCCTCGTTTACATATTAATTTGCAACCCTCAATGTGCAGATATTTTTACTTCAAATATGGCAAGGGTTCAAAAATATACATTAAGAGAGGTAATTATGGAACACCTTGCATATCTCACCATTTAATTTCTGAAAAATAATTATTATCACGAATGCGTTTAAAAGTATTGTATATTTATCATTATCAAATTTATCAATACCTAATATACCACCATTAATTTATTTATCAATCTCAATGTTTCAATTTGCCTTCTTATCCTTTCAGGGTGAAAGAAAACGATTTAAAGACTACGAAGAATTGAGACACAAGAATCCTTTTGTAGAAATGGATATTAATAACGTTCTATGGTTAATAGATGAAATAGGAAAACAAGTGGGTAATAGTATAACTTTTTTCAACAATTGATTAAAATAAATGAACGTGAACTCAGAAAGACATGACATGGATATATGGCATGAAAGAGTGTAAACATGATATGAGAGTTAAGTGAATAAAACGACGCGTTGACTTTCAAAAAGTGATTTTTAAACTTTTAAATATAATTAAATCCCGTTGAAAAGATTTGAATACCATTTTTTAAACTAAAATATGTTTCAACTAAATCAGTTAAATCAGTATACTAAAATCAGTTTCAACTTTATAACTTTCAAAACTAGAAGCGATACATAATTTAAGTGGAAAAAAAATCCGTGCATAATTTGAAATTCTTTGTTTTAATATCTTTAATCGTGTCCTTACAGTTAATTTCTTCAAATATAAAGTAATTTTGATATGTATAACCTTTTTTTACTCAATACTTAGAAACTAATATATTAAAATTAAAGGATTATATTTTTTTATTAATCTTATCAAATTGTTAACTCATTAATAAAGACGAAACTATGCAACAGTAAATTCTCAATTTCGTATCTATATTTAGCTAAAATATAGACACGAAAAAACAAATAAGACTATAAAACAAATTAACTTTCAATAAGTGATTCCTAAACTTCAAAATATAATCAAATAACGTAAAAAAGCTTTTAATACAATTTTTTTTAACTAAAGCATTATATTAATTAGGTTTATTTGGATAACTTTCAAAACTATAAACAATGCATAGTTTAAATACAAATAACACGCATAATTTTTAACTCTCTGTTTTCATATAATTATATCATCTTTTCCATTAGTTTCTTGAAACATACAATACTTCTAAAATGCATAACTTTTCTACTCCAGACACTCAGATTGATTTATCACCATGAATGTTATAATTTTTTATTAATCTAAAATTGCTAATTTATCATTAACGCCAAAGTTATACATTTAATTTTCAGTTTTATATCTATATTTAGTTTGCAAGTAGAGTATTTATTTAACAGTATCTACGAACTGAAATCAATACATCTAAATTACAAGAAAAAATAGTACTAAATGACAAAAAAAATTAGATAATAATAATAAGCATAATTTTTTAAATGGATTATTTTACCACTTTAGGTTTTGATATAAACTACCCTACGACTGGTAGTAGTAGTACCTACTGGTATTATTAAATAACAAGGATTTATGTAATTAGCACTAAGTCAAATTGTGTTTCACTAATTTTTTTCCAGCCGATTTGAAGTACCATAACTTTTTGTTCACCATAATGATTATATAACGGTTTCAAGAAAAGTGATTAATTTTAGCAACTTAAAAATTATGTTGTTGTTGATACTAATGACACATTGGCCTTTTGTGAATTAAGTCAGGAATTTGCCCCTTTCATTTGATTAGAGAGAACCACAGGGGTGAAAATCATAGAGTTGAAATACTGGGAAATACTACTATTTCAACTCTATGGTGAAAAAACATCTTAGCTCAGAACCCCATGCATAGACAGCAGCACCGCTCATTCGAGAGGTCACTTCCTCAATTTAGACATAGATCTGACAGGGAAGGAAATTTCTGCTCAGCAGCAGACATCATGACTTTCGATTTCACAGATTTTACGAGCACGTATATCGCATATATATCTGTGGATCGTAGTGGAGTCGAAGTTCGAACCCCGGAGTCTGATTCTCTAACCACTGGGATAATTTCAGAACTGGAAAAATCGTAATTCAGATCAAGCAGATTAAACCTGAACAAAGTTTAATTTATTATCTAGTTAAATGATAATAAATTTTAAAAAAAAAATTTTAAAAAACTATGTTTTAATGATTTATAATTTTTTATAGAATTTTTAAATTTATGTTACTATGACATAGGAAAATGCAATATGAGAAAGGCATTTCTAACAAAATTGGAGAATGTCAGAATTCTACCTCAATTAGAGCAACAACCATTGGATTAACTATTTGCCAACTAAATTTACACTCCAAAAGTGTAAAACAAGAAATGCAAGGATGTTAGTTAAAATAAACTTTTAAAGATTTTAATTATTATCTTCAGATACCATCAGCAGCCCCATGGAAAGCACCAAAGTCAAACGAATGGGATACCATGACGTTTCAGGAATTCCTAAAGAAAAAATGCTGGACAAAGTAAGAACACTTATTTACATTAACAATGATTTATTTTTTACCACCAACGATAAACAGCCAATCCATGTAGGGAAGTTACGCGAAATGTCTAGCTACTTAGATTTATAAATTAGAAACCAACTCTGACAAGGAAACTCTTTTATCCAATTTCGAGAGATGAATGAAATTTATAATTTATTTATTTATTATTTATTCATGATTCAAGAAAGTTTCATTATTTTCATTTATAATAAAAAATAAATTATTTATAATATGTTATAAAAATTTATTTATTATATAATACATGCTATAATGTGGATAAACATTGTCGTATACAATTTGTTTATTTTATAAGGAAATGTTCACCCAACATTACCTTATATAATAAACTCTTTGAAATCACTATTTGTTCTGAACCCAAATCAAAAGGCAAAGATAGTAGAGCATCGGATTTTACCAACGCCTCCTTAAAGAGAGAAGGCCTTCGCACTGGTTACTATAAACGAAATTTGATCCTTAAGAGTCAGAACGTTGTGACACCTGTCTTATGTCTTTCCCACTGTGCAGTTTTGTAGCTCGAATTTAGTGATATCTTTCTTAATTCCCCCCACTGCTCAATTTATGTTTGTTCCTTCGGACCATAACAGTGATCCGCGCGAAGGCCTTCTCTAGAAGGTGCTGAATTAACATACCTCCATTGAAGAATTTTTCAATTAAATTACCCCACACCTGCTATAGATGGAGGAGAAAAAACGAAGAACTTATGGGATTTGAACAACATTTGTCGATATGTTACAGATGAACTAGCATAAATATGGCCCTTAAAAACACGATCTTCAATAAACCATATTTGTTTCTAACAAAGAGCATCTGCATTTACTTAATAAAGCATTTTTGCTTAGGAACATTTTCAATCCCTGAACTTTATAAATAAAACAGTATTAAACTTACTAATATGCCTTTTTATTATTTTCTCACTAGAGAAGCAGTTCAATATTTCAAAAACTACATAAATGGACTTACAGCCACAGATTCCTATGAAGCCTCACTCTTGAGTTTTCTATGGTATATTAAGCAGTGCGGTGGATCTAAACGAATATTTGCTACTACAAACGGCGCTCAAGTAAGATATCCACAGTGTTCCGTAATCACCGCCTTTAATATATGTTTTCTAGAATATTTATACAAAATGGGAGAATAAAATTTTACTGACTAAAGATCGCACTCTACTATTTTAATGGGAATAAGTAGCTCCTTTTAACGCTTTTTAATTTCTTTCAACAATCCGAATTTGATGTTTTCAATCCAACCTTTACTATAATTGAGCCAACCTTTACGATAATTATTCGTTAAATTTTGAATAAGCGTTTTTCATGTAATTTTGAGATCTCAATTGCTGTTATTTTATTTCGTTTTTTAATCCGAAATTATAAAAATATATTTTAACGACAAGAAAATACTCAACTCATCCAGTGGTTGTCTTTATTCATAATTCTTGGAATAAAATTCTGTATTTAAATTAAGATAGGATATATTTCATGATACGTTTATAATGACATATTTTTCTTACAAACCATTGCAGTAAAAAACTTTATACATTTGATTAAGAAAACATGAAACAGAAAAATTTAAAAAATTGTGCCAAGTTAATGATTTTTCGAGGAAAAAGTATTTTAAGGAATTATTTCTAAATTTGTTGCCAGTCGGCTTAATAATAAATTAATCTATTTTATTTGTTCTCCCAGCCCTGTTTTCTTGAACACAAAACTGTTTTTTAAAGTAATGAAAATAATAAAAAATCCTAATAGTAATACTTATAGCCCTAAACATATTAGTTAAGTGAGTTTATTTTGTTTCTACGTTTAGGAACGAAAGATCAAAGGTGGATCCCAGAAATTAAGCTTAAAATTAGCTGAAAGATTAGGAGGTAAGTTTTTTAAATTTAATCAGAATTTTCTAACACTTTCCATTATTTTCAACCAAATTTATCAGAATATGTTTCAATATAATCTGACAAACAACTTTTTTTTTTCCTTTTTAAAAATAAGCTTATTTGCACCAAGCATGTATAAAAACAATATTCGTCTTATTTCATACACTTTTATTTAAGGATTAAGAAAATCTCCTTCAAAATTATGTTATTGAATGACTTGAGGATTCTTTCAATGCAACGCAAATATTTACTCAATAATTTTTTACCCTCTGCGGATGATATAATAGTAATGTTTTAGTTAAAAACATGGGTAATACGTAAAGATTCGGAAAATAGAAAAAGTATTATAATAGTAAGTGTTTAAATAGAGTATAACTTAAAGTGAAATTGATATAAAAATTAGTTATTGATGTTAATTTTTAAAAAAAGTATTTAAATGTATGTTTTTATAAAATTAGTTAGTTTTCTATTTATTTATTTTATTAATTATTTTTTAAGATTCAGTTGTGAAGAAAAATAGTCCTGTAACAGGAATAAATCAAGAATCTGAAAATTTTGTTGCTGTGACTACTTTAGATGGAAAACAATATAAAGTAAGTAAACAAAATCAATTCTCTCTCCCATAAAAAGAAACACGCACTCATAATTTTTTCTTAAAATTTATACATTTTTACAATTAATTTTCTACAATGTGAATTTTCTGAACTAAAAATGCCCTTTATAATAACATAAAAACTTAGTTACAGTCGATTAAGTAAAACTTTTACGGTGATCTACTGATCAACAGTTCTTTTTTACATTTTTCTTTTTTATCTTTTTTACATCATTACAGGAATCATTTCATAAACAAATTTGTAAAAATATTTTTTCCGAAGTTAAACAACACCTTTCTCTAACTTACACATTGTTACGTGTCATAATAACTTTAGCGTGAAATGTTATTCAATTTAATTTTGACTAGAAAACTATGCAAAAAGTTGTTTATAGTCCCAAAATACAGAAAATAAATTGTTACGTCAATTATTTAACATTAATTTCAGCGACTTTGTTGGATAGAAAAAATAGTCTATTAATTTACGAATTTATTAGTTAAAAAATTTATTAATTGGATCAGAATTGATTATTTGTGTCGTGAAATTTACTAATATTAGAGTTGCGGCAATGTAATGATAAGCCACACATCTTCAAAATATGACATTTTTACATCAAACTTAATTTGGTATTGTTTTCAGATATAATTAACAAGTTATCATAATATCCGCTAGATACCAGCACAATACATAAAAGCATCTAATTGCCTGGAAGTCATGATGTATTTGAACTTGGGTCAATATCATAATATGCCAAGCTGTAAAATGTGGCTTATCAGATATTACCTCAAGCCCTGAAATTATAAACTTATCAAATCATTTCTTTCATTGAGATCAAAATAATATCTATTCTAGACAAAATACGTGATCCTAGCCATGTAAAATAACTGCAGCAAACTTACAGCAGTTATGAAAATAGCATATTATTCGCAAAAAAGCAACATTTCGTACGATGGCGGAGGCTTCGAAAAACAGTCTTAAAAGTTTGGGTCAATATCATGACAAGTCAATTTGTAAAATATCGTGATATTGCCCCATATAAATTTATTTATCATCTCTTTCATTTAGATCAAAATAATATTTATTCTAGACAAAATACGTGATCCTAGGCATGTAAAATAACTATAGCAAACTTACAGTAGTTGTGAAAATAGCATATTATTCGCAAAAAGTAATATTTCATATGATGACGGAGCCTTCGGAAAAAAAACCTTATAAACTTGGGACAATATGATGACAAGTCAATCAGCAAAATATGGCTTATCGTGATATTGCCCCAAGCCCTTAAATTATAAATTTATCAAATCATCTCTTTCATTTAGATCAAAATAATATCTATTCTGGGCAAAATACGTGATCCTAGCCATGTAAAATAACTGTAGCAAACTTACAGCAGCTATGAAAATAGCATATTATTCGCAAAAAGTAATATTCCGTATGATGACGGAGCCTTCGAAAAACAGTCTTAAAAGCTTGGGTCACTATCATGACAAGCCTATCTGTACAATGTGGCTTATCGTGATATTGCCCCAAGCCCTAAAATTATAAATTTATCTAACTATCTATTTCATTAATATCTATTCTAGACAAAATACGTGATCCTAGCCATGCCTCCAACACTGCAGATGAAAATTCACTTCACACCTTCTCTGCCACCCTTGCGCAACCAATTGATGCAACGAATGCCCATGGGAACGGTGATGAAAGCCGTATTCTACTATGAAACTACATTTTGGAGAGAGAAAGGTATTAGTCCCCTTTTTTTCTTGGTATTTGAAACATTTTAAAAATAAGAATTTAAAATATATTAATCTTAAAATTTAAAATCCTGCAGATAGGTTAAATAGACGACCTTTCAATGGAAAAACATATTAATTAATTGCTTATTGGTAAGAAAATTGGGTACATATGGTTATCCGTAAATCAACATGGAAGTAAAAAAAAATTATAATTAGTTGCTTATTAAGTTAGTATGGAAGAAGTATATATAAACACTTTTCTGCCTAAAGTGAACACTTAGTCAATGTTAAGTAGTTTAAATATTAGTTATTTCCATTTAAGAAAAATAAAACAAATAAAAGAGATAGAGAATTTATAATTTGTTTGATAATAGCCACCTTGCAACAAAACACACACTTAAGGTACCTCTTCAGAGTCTGTGTTAATCTACGGAGAATTGCATGTTATCTTCATTCAGAAAATAACTAATTAATATTTTGAATCTTTTTTACTTCATTTTATTCTTTAAAATGAATTTTATTGAACCAAATAATCAAATTTTAAGTTTGTTAATATTTTTTAAAAAGACAACTCGGATAAAATTTAAATATACTTACAATCTTAAAATTTAAAATCTTGTATATAGATCCAGTTGGCGATATTTCAATGAATAAAAATGAAGCAAAAATATTCAAATATATTAATCAGTTGATTATTTAGTAGGAAAATTGCGTTCATATAATTATCCGTAAATCAATAAGGAAGAAAAAATTTAAAAAATTTTAATTCGTTGCTTATTAAGTTAACATGAAAGAAGTACAATTCCTTTTTCTGTCTAAAATGGACATTCTGTCAATGTTAAGTAGTCAGTAAAATTATGTAAATAGTAAGTGAAAACCATATTTTTACTTTGTGTATCGGTCATTGTTAATTTTGCAGCTGAAAAAAATGTCATAAATATGTTTTAATTTTGAAGGTCTTTGTGGGTCAACTTTAATTCATGCTGGTGAGCAACACCCAATGTATATGACATACGATGACACGAAACCAGATGGAAGTCATCCAGCTATTGTAGGGTATGTAATTAGTTGCTGCTTTGAGCAATAGCTTAAAGGGGGAAAAACCTAATTAAACATATTTTGTTAAAAATACGCTTACCTATTACCTAATACGTTTACCTATTTTTTATAACTTTACACTGTAAAAAATTCCAGATTAAATTACGGAATAAAGTATGCATCAGTCGTAAAATCCTTTTTTACCGTAAAATATTCTATCGTAATTTTACAGTAATATGTATTTAATTAGTACTTCGGTGATTTTACAGTAATTATTACTGTAAAAATTACAGTATATTAGATATTTTTGATTCGTAACATGTTCCGGTAAAATGGATTTTACGGTAAAAGTACCAGCACCCTGAGAGCCGATAATTTTTACCGAAATTTTGTACAGTGTTATTTCTTACAGATTGCTTCAAAAGCACATATTGAAACTGACTCAGCATTAAATCATTTACCGCTGCTTTAAATTTCACCTTTGTTCAATGTGTACTTCCGACTTACTATAATTTAGCACCAAATGGTGCAGTTTTCAATTTAAAACTCAGTAAGCAAATGTTCGTATCTCTTAAAGCATATTAAATTTGTTACCATCAATTTAGGTTTGACCATATTGAATTTGTTCGAACTAAGAAGTAAAAACTGGAGTGGTCGTTACACCTCTACTTATTTTCGGACAAAAACTTTAAAATTTCTTTTCATTACTTAATTTTACACATCATTTAATCTTTATCTTATTTTCAGCTTTATTTTGACAGATAAATGTAGACGGTTTTGTCAATTAAACGCTGAAGAACGAAAACATATTCTCGTTCACAGTTTAGCGGATGTGCTGGGATGCAGAGAAGCATTAACAGTAAGTTTTTAAGTATTAAATTTTTAAAAAAAAATTTATACAAATGCAAATGTGTTTATAGTAATTTCACATCATTATTTTCGTAAGTTTTGCAAAATTTAATAATCAAATCGCCTACTTGGCCTATCCAAGTAATGGATTTTATACAATACTCCTTAACTTTCATCTCAGTTAAAGAAGTTGAAAGGGAATTGCAATCTTCGAATTCATGAAGGCCCCAAAACGGTAATATTCGAAAAAAGTTTAATACTTATTATAATGCAATTATGAAATTTTTGTAACCTTTCATAAATTATAAAATTTAATTAGAATAATTTCAACCCTTGTTTCAGGCTTGTTTCCTATTTTATCACATAAAGGACATAAGAAAACACAGCAGCTATCTCCAGATTTCTTGAAGTCCCACACACACAAAAATTCATACAAATCAAAATTATAATTTTAGAAGAAAGGATTAATTCAAAAAAATTTTCTTGGTTTCTTAAACATTACCTTTAAACACAACATCACTCACTTCTAAGATCCGCTATTGTTGTGTAGATAAAATATAAAAATTAAACAATTGTATAAAATCTGCCAAACTATAAGAGAATTTTAAGTTGTTCGTTTTTAGAAATGTGTTACAATTATGAAACTGCAATAATATTTTTATTAAAAGGTTGAATTTAGCAGAAAATATTTCTGCTATTACTCACGCACGTGAAGTACCAAACGCACGTGAGGTACCAAAAATTTTAGAAAATGCTTTGAAGCTAGTTTATACCGATATTGTATTGTCTTTTCTTTTTTTCACTTCTGCATTTTATTTAACCGGCGATAAAAAGCTAACCCAATTCTGAGTTTCCGTACACTCGCAGTTTTGAGCCTAACCCAGAACACAAACAAAACTCCTGGATAAGGCATCCGGACAAACTAGTCCACGTGGAGGACATTTTTTTTATAGAAGAAACCCATATTTCCGTTATGTGGGCAGGAAAACCACGAAAAACTCCCACGATTAGTCCGACGACAAGAGAACTCGAACACATTATCCGTCTACCTCAGAGGACATTTTACGTCGGCACTGTGATCGATTTGATGTGGCAGAATTCGTATCAACCAGCCACCGCTCAAATTTGAACCTGGGTCACCTCATTGGGAGGTGAACGCTCTACACCCCGAGCCACCGCGGCTCTTCCAGTATGCATTTTATTTTATAATCGTCGTTGAACAGCTGATCCAATTTTGGGTTTACAACTACTGATGTTCAAATCCATAGCCTTGTAATTTTAAACCCAATCCAGAAGACAAGGAAACTTCTGGATCAAGTATTAGGAGAATTTGCCTTCATGGAGAACTTTTTCATGTAATAACTCGCATTTGCGTTACATGGGGAGGAAAACCACCCACGGTTAGCCCGACGGCAAGGGGACTCTTAACCCATGATCCGTCTACCACTAAGGATATTTTACGTCAGCACTGTGATCGGTGCACGCAGAGTGCGGAATTCGAATCGACCAGCTATGGCTGGGATTCGAACCCAATTCATCTCATTGGGAAGCGAACGCTCTATCCCCTGTGCCACCACGGCTCCCATTATGCATTATTATTTTTGTAACAAAAACTTTTATTCCTTTTTCATTACTTTCTGATATATCTAATCTTAAAAATCCTTTTCCATGCCGATAATGGATCCAGAAAAATGAAATTGGAAAAAGAAAAAAAGAGAGATCAAATTTCAACAATACGGGGGAAAATCTGAATTAATTCATTTACAAAAAGAACGGAATTGGAAGAAAAAAGAGAGAGATCATATTTTAAAAATACATGGTGCGAAGCCAAATTTTTCAACAAAAATAAGCACCTTTTAAGTACATTTTAAGCACTCAAAAAATATTTTTAATCACTTTCCAAAAAAAAATCGTAATTAGGATCAGTGCAGTAATAAAAAGTATTTTTTCATCGGTTAAAGTTCTTAATTTATAAACATAAAATTCAAAAACATTTTCAAAAACTTTTCAAAATCATGATAAAACAACTAATAAATTCTAATAAATATTGCAGAGAAAACTGCGAAAATCATGCATTTTTTGTGATTTAGAACGACAATCGAAATGACAAAGAAAAAATCTCTTTTTAAAAATTAGAAAATTAAGTACTTTTTACAAACCTTGAATAAAAAAAAATCACCTTAAAAGGTTTTTAAAACACATGAATCTAAAATAAGCTCCTTAAACACTTTTTAAAAACGCTACGCACCCTGTAAAATAGAGAAATCTGAGGTCCTAAGTAGTTCATTCTACTAATTGCACCGCACAATTGAAACTATTTGTAGGGCCCCCAAAAAATATAGCAACGGTACTTTTTCGGTGCATTAATCTATTTGAACTAGACTAAATAGGAATTTTCTTTCAACAGCCCATCCACTATGAAGAGAAGAACTGGATGGAAGAGCAATATTCTGGTGGATGCTACACCGCCATATATCCTCCTGGTTTTTTCACGAGATACGGAAGGTATTTCATCCTTCGAAAATTCTCTTCAGTGGAAACTGAAACACTAGTTTGTTTTCAATATTTGTGTAAATCACAGACAATGCTTTCTTTTTTTTTTCAGTATCTTACGTACTCCTGTGGATAGGTTGTACTTTGCAGGCACAGAAACAGCCGTAGAATGGTCAGGCTACATGGAAGGAGCCATTGAAGCCGGAGAACGATCAGCACGTGAAATACTTCACAAGTTGCAAAAAATTAGAGCAGATGAAATATGGCAAAAAGAACCAGAATCAGAGGTAAATGAACCAAAAATTAAAGTCTCGAAAATTAGAAAAATACATAATAACCTAATTTGTAAGAAACAATATTTTGATCAGCAAAGGAATTTCTTTTTTCCTTTCATTGGATAACTAACAGGGTAAAAAAATTCACGTGTTTAATAACTAAATATGATTATTTGCAAATGAATTTCAAATATAAAATAATATAGATATTTGTAAAATATGATAGTTATGCAGTTATCTATTAAAAATAAGCTTTTAAAACAAAATGTCAGGAACTTCTTTTATTGCCTTGTGAAACAGTAAATTAAATTTCATGTCTGATAAAGTAGTAAGATTTCTCCCAAGGAACTCCAAACATTTATTTTATTCAATATTTTATTCGATATTTTATTTTTAATTTTGTAGTTGAAATCGCCAGCAAGTCCTAAATGTTATAATTTTTTCTCTCAATCGTTGCTTAAAACAGGATAGTAATCAAAACACTGTTCAGGGCCTGATTTTCGACCAATAATTATTCAATCAATAGTAATCGACGCTGAATTTTATTGGGGGGGGGGTGAAATACCACCTAAATCTCCTTAATGAATCAATTTATTAACAATAATAATAAAAAGATAAAAAAAAATAATTACTTCGGTGTAAGATGCAAAAATTACAAAAATTAATGAAAAGTAAATGATTCAAAGTGCTTTGCTTGCAATAATGTTCCTCATTATTATTCTTTTGAAATTGCTATTAGATTTTAACAAATTAAATACATTGCAACTAATTTTTTTTAACTGAAATATCCAATTTAATAAAAATTACATATTTTAGTTTAATTGCTTTTGTAGCTTAAAAAAAAGCTCCAAAGAAAAACCCACACATTTTGTCAGGGATTTTAGAAAAAAAAATTTATTATTTCTTAAAACAAATTAAAAAAACAATAACAATTAATATAAAAAAATCCAACATTTAGAAATATTTTAATTTAATAAATTTATAGCAAATTTAAAAAATAATTATATGTGGGAATGCACATCTGGGAACTGCAGAAATATTTCAGTGCTCAGACAGAGCAATCAAACTCCCATTTAACTCTTTAAAACTCTTCTCAAATTTCTTAATTTTTATTATTAAACTTTTTTTTGTTTTCATGTGTTATCTTACGTCTGGCTCAATATACCAAAGACCAACCTCTAAATATATATTTTCACTTGCAGGATGTAATTGCTTATCCTTTTGAGACGAGCATCACTGAAAGATTCACACCATCTGTCAGTGGTTTCATTTTAGGATTGACGATTTTAATATTGATTGGAGCAATTGTGTTTTCTTTAATGAATGGATAAAATTTGAAAACATTTCACAGATAATTACTTTTTACGAATTGTATCCGAGATTATAATATATCCAATCCATAATAAAATCCATTTGAAAAAGTAAGCTCATAAGACAAATAAAATAGCCTCCCCCTTCCTTGAGAAATCAAGAAAAGAATTGTTCAGGTTGAAACTGGAGGTGGATCTGTTATGCTTTATAGATGTTTATAATTGCGCTTTCTCCCAGAAGTGATCACTAACATGAATCAGTACGTTTATTTTAAAATTCCAAATGATCAGGTGTTGCTTTTCAGTCAGCATCTTCAAAATGAGTATGCTATTAAAATCCATATTTTTTTTTCAAATTAAATCAGCAAAGTCTGGAAGAATGTATGACTGGAGTACTCACATATCCTTTTACATCTTGATTAGCCTGCAAAATTACCAGATTTGAAACCCATAGAACATATATGGAACATGTCAGAGCAGTGTATAAAACACTAAAATCGTCATTATCACAAAATTGTAGATTTGCATATGATTGAACCTTCAGAGAGTGGCTTTAACTAGATGCACAATATACTAGAAAACCTTGTAGACTCACTTTATAAATGAATCCAGATGACTAACTTTGAAATTCATCAAAAGTACAAGCAACCATATTTTGTTAAAGTTATAAAATGCAATAGACTGCGATGGCTCAGACATCTATCCCAATCTTATAATACAAACAAAGTGAAAATTTCACTTTTAGTAATCCCATGGGAAACAGAAAATGAGAAAGATCACCAATTAGATAACTTGTCTAGGTGACGAAGGACTTTCATATAGTAAATACTGAACACTGAGACAGCCTTCTCCCTGGGAATAGGATCAAATGGCAAAGACTAATTAAGATGGCCATGGCTTGTAACAAGCTGTAGTGCCTTGAAAGAAGATGGAGATGACTGTCATGTCTAGCAGTTAAGTTGTTCCGTATAAAATGATGCTTTTAATGATTTTTTTTGGGAAGATTTTGTTTGGTGACCACCAATGAAACTTTTAAAAACTAGTATGAGTTTCATTAGGTCTTTTAAACACCAGATGACATCAATGCATGTTGTTAGTTAGCTTCAAATATTCTACATTTACTTGCAAATGTAAAACACAGTGTAATAATGATTTCTGAAAAATTGACTTATTATTATACTAGTTTCAAATTATTTTTTTATTAAATTGATATTATACTTCTATAAAAAGAACAGATAAGTAAAACAGTGAACAGATATAGAGTACAGATTCCATACTCACCTCCTTTAATAGTATATATTTTAGAATACCTATAAAAAAATTAAGGGAAAAAAGTATACACATTACAACAAATTGCAGTGCAAACAAGATAATAATGTTTAAAAAAATGCTATGTAAATTTTCATTACATCTATATTTATTTATAATTATCATTGCTCCAGGGAAAAAATTTTCATTATCAACATCATTTTATTTTCAATCTCACAAAAAGAAAGAGGACCCTACACGGCAAGAGAAACTTTTCATGACAAATTCTGTTACGTCTCCATTGGTAATTAAAATTATAGAAGATAAACCAAGAGTAAACCAAGAATTTTCAAACATTTTACCCCCACTACTGATTTTTTTTTCTTTTTCAAAAAATCCAAAGGCAAATAAAATATGGTTTGATTACTTCCCTACTGTGTAATCTTCTTACGCCTGCTATAATTTATTTTCAAAAACTTTTTCAGCATTTAAAATTTCATGATTTACTCTTGGTTTACTGATACTCGCTTTTTCTATATTTTAAATTACTTATGTAGGTAAAACAGAGCATGCCATGAAACGATTCTCAGACTGTACAGTGTCATTTTAATGTATACTTAGTAATCAGTATTAAATTGCAATTGTTAAGTTTCAAAATAAAAAAAGTTACATCCAATTAAAAGCAATGTAATTTATTTCTGCAAAAATAAAAGCTTACAAAACTAAATATGCATTTGAGATAATACATTTATTTATTTACAAAAATATAATATATAAAATAATTCTTAAAATAATAATAAGTAATCCAAAAACAATAAATAACATAAAAAATAATTTTAATATACATGTAACAGGCTATTAAGAGTAGAACTAATAAAAATTATTTGATTAACTAACATATAACTCCATAAAGAAATAAAATAGCTAAGTTCAGATATCTATACCTATCTTAGCATTACACAAAATTTAATTCCTGCAGAGAGAAGTAACATCTGAAAATAAAAAGGAAAAAACTAAAGCAACACACAAAAAATGTAAACTAATGCATAAAAATGCATTAACAAAACATGAAACGAATGTGTCTACATAAATTTTCATGTGTTGCTGCTTATACAAGCAACATAACTTGGCTATAATATTATTTTGTGCATGTCAGAATTGAATAAATAACTCTTAATCACTTAATACATTTTAAAAGACACACTCAAGAAAAAATTTTGAGAGTTTGAGAAGCTCTAAAAGATTTTCCGGGCTCCAGTGAGAAAGGATTGCTCACATAGCCAGCCTCTACACAAATCATATTTTTCCATTCATCATCTCCAAAATCGTCCATTTTTTTAGCATTTTCAATCCAGGGATTCCAAACAACTAAAATAAAAATGAGAATTTATAGGAAGTTTTGTAGTTTTAAAAAAAACAATAATGCATTGTTATAAACTTATTATTATTTAACAATGTTTTGGTGTACACTGTTGCATATAATAATTACAAATTGCTACTTGCTATGTAAGCACTCTTATTTGACAATGTATTATGGTACAATTTTGCACAAGCTTATAATAAATTGTTACATATTATGCACTATCATACATCTAAAATACATCTATTTTAAATGTGTCTAGATATAAATGCTGAAAAAATTTATAATATATATCAGATAAAGAAACCTGGCATTTCTAAATGAAGCATGAAAACCAATTTAAAATATTAGATACTTTCAAATTAACTAAAAGAACAAAATAAGCTAAAGAACAAATTTCAAAAACAATTACAATCTGTTTAGTAAAACTTTTAAAATACAATGATAGGTTTTAAGTAATGAATATTTAAAAGAAAAAAAATAACATTTTTTTTTCTTATTCATGTTTTTATAAAGAAAGTGAGAATAATTTTTACCTGTATCTGGTAGATTTACTTTCTGAATTTCCACATTCTGGCCACCTGATACATTTTGAAGCTTATTTGTTAGAGGAGTGTTCTGATAAATCCTGAAAACATAACAAATTATAAAACATAACTTAGCTTTTAAACATTAGACAACTTTTCATTAAATAATTTAGTTATTTAGACAATTTTAATGTGCTGAAAATAAGCTAAACTAAACTTTATATGTTTCTTTTAAAGGAGAAAGAATGTTACCGAATTTATCATGTCTAAATTTAAAATCATTACTTATCAACTTAATAAATTGAAAGTTAACTATTTTAACAATAAATAAGATATTCACATTTAAAACTAAGCATTTTCTTAAAAGGGATGGAAAGTTTTCCAAAATTTTTTTAAAAAAAATTTAAAAATTTTAATTTTTGTCCTAAGAATAAATTAAAATTTAAACTGTTTTAAAAAAAAACTATGAATAAAAATATAAATTGCCTTTAAAAAAAAACTTAAATTATCTGAATAAAGAAAATAATTCTGAATATCTAAAAGCAAGACTTTATAGATATATGTTTAATGAGAAAATCAATTGAAGGAATATTATTTATTAAATACAGGTTTCTAGAAAGAAATTAAACATTTATAATGAAGCATTTTTTAATAAAAAATTAAAATTTATAACAGAATACAAAATAAAATTTCCTAGACCTTGGTAAAAATGATAACACACATCTCATTTCCCAGTCACAAAAGGTTAATTTTGCTTGAATAATTATTTAACAATTAGTTTCTTAGCAATAAATGCATAACAATAAATATATTTTATGGAAATATAAATTAGATTAATTCTAAAGTGAAGTAGCACCTCTGACTAAAAGGTCAACTCTTTTTAATCCAAAAACTGATAAGCAATTTGACTTAGTTTAAAAGAACTCATATTCTTAATTGAAGCCAGGTTGCTAAGCAGTAACAGGTTCGAAGTTTTATCCTAGGGCCATAAAAGGTTGACTCAGCCTTTTATCCCTTTAAAGAGTCAATAAAATGAGAACCAATCATTTAGAGACTAAAAACTAAGGGTTCCACGTTCAGCTGACCACCTAACTAGAACATCTAATCCTGCACCCCAAAGCCAAAGTCTAGAAAACTGGGATGGGCACATTAGGCCTTGGCCCTTTATAGGCTGTCGCACCACTGAGTTTACTTTCATTCATTTTTAGTAACAAAAATATTCAGATAATTTAAGCAATTAATTAATAAAATAATAGATTATGTAATAAATAACATTATGCTTCACATATCACACTTGTAGAACTAGAAAAAAATTACTTTTCTTAATAACACAATGAAACTTTCAAAAAATGAGGTCAGGTGATCAATTTTACTTTTGAAATGTTTAATTGTTACGTAAATATAAATTGGGATTCTCCGTTGTGCTAGATCTCTTTTTCAAGCAAGATATTTATCTTTTATAGAAAAAACTACAACATGACTTCTGAAAAAACAGTTGAAAAAAAATACATACCTGTCAGTAAAACCCGAAAGGACAACTTGCTCATTTTCTTCTTTTTCTGAAGAGCCATCGTTTGTCTAATGAAAAATTAAAATGTCATAATGGAAAAAGTTATTAAAAATAATATCTAAGTCACTATGATTAATATAAAAAATCACCTTATCAATATAGGTACAGCCTTGCAGACCGATAACTTTACAGTTGAATACATCAGGCGTCGAAAAATATGTATGCAAAAGAAATGTGAAATTAAAACTTACATCCCCTGAAACGAAATAAAATATTAGACAAATGCAGATTACAGAAACAGCACAAATACTATAAAACATCACTGAAATAAGAACTATAAACTATAATAAAAACTAATTTAAAAACAAAATGTTATTTTTAATTACAAAAAAATGGATTCCTATTTATTATTTATTTTTAATGTCAGTTTATTTTAAAACAAATTAGCAATGCATTTTCAAAATTGTATTTCTTATAAAGCGTAACATTTATAGAAAACTTGGGGAAAAAAGTTTAAATAATACTAATATATAAAGTAAAACTTTACAAATACAGATTTTAACATACACAATTATATTAATAAAACAAAAAAAATTTAAATGAATGTGAATGAAATGAAAAAAGTATGCAAAAGAAATGTGAAAGCAAAACTTCAATCACCTGAAATAAAATAATGTTAAGCAAATGCAGATTGAACTAAAAAAGAAAGGGTGCCATAAAATATCAGAGAAATTAAAAACTTTAAACTGTGAAAAAAACTACTTTAATTACAAGAAAAGGCAAAGTGAATCTCATCCATTAAATTATTATTTCCTTTAAAAGAAATTAGTAATACATCTTCATAACTGGTTTTCTTCTTAAGTGTAGTAGATATTAAAAACCTTAAGAGAAAAAAACTTGGAAAAGAGCTTAAATAATGAGGGTATATAAAAAGTAGAACATAAAAAATACAGATTTTAACATACAAAAAAAATCAAAAATAATGGAAGAACTGAAAACTTTTCTTAAACATTTGCCAAAATTTATAACTTCTACGTAAAATATGAAATGTAACTTGTATATATAGAAATTGTAATAAAAAAATTTAAAGTCCAAAGCTGTTCAAATCTCCTGCAAAAAATCTTTTTTTTCCTCTTAAGTCATAATCTGGTATTGCTTAATCTTAACTCATAATTTTCAAACTGTCAGACTATGAATTTCAAAGAGCAAGGTTCGAGTAAGAAGAACGGTGAGTCAGAGATCAGGAGTTCGAAAAACCACTGAAAGAGGGAGTTCGAACATTTAAAAATAATTTAAAGACAGAATTTGCATAGTATTAATTTTGAGTGTGTAAGTTTTCTACCCTCATTATGCAAATGTTATTTTTTGATTGGATGATAAATATGCTGGTATATATATGACGAATCGAGATTAGATTTGGTGATTTTCATGGTTGTATAGATTGAATTTAGTTACTTCATGTTATGGAGAGTAGAATTCTCTCGAGGATTGTTTTCTTTTATCAGTTACAATTTTTCTTGCTTAATAAAAATTCTTGTTAGTTCAAAGATGACTTTTTCATTATGCTTGCTAAGCATTTTCCACAACGCACTAAACTCTGCCAGCACAAACAAGCTCAACATATAGTCTAAATAATTAGATAATTTACCAGAAAATGCAATTACCTATTTGAGGTCTGATTTTGCATTTACAATTATACCAAATTTTCAGAAGATGATACATTAAAGATTTGAAAACCATAAATCAAATATAATAATGCAAAAGTAAAATAATTAAAATATAATTATGAACTTTTAACTGACTAGAAATTTAAAGAAAAAAGTCTACACTAAATAAAAGACAATTTCAATGGATTATTAAAACAACACAGTTAAGTTTAAACTAGTATATGAAACAAATCTCAAAATGTATATCATCATAATGAGGTAGAGATATAAAATTACAGTTGAAACAAATAAAGTATCAATCAAATGAATATAAATTGCTTCCCATTAAAAATATACCTGAATTTGTAATCATGGCCTCCATTTTCAAATCAGATTCAGATGTGAGAATCAGAGTATATTCAAATACAAACCTAAGGATAATAGAAATGACAAAAAATTTTAATATAACCACTTTTCAAATAAACCATTTATGAGCTTTAAAATTGTAACCTCGAAGGGAAATTTTTTTTTAAAATTTTACTTAAAAATATAATTGGTTTCAATCAGAAACTATACAAGATACATAGAAATGTTACTAAAAGTGTGCTTTGTATATTCTTAGGGGTGTAAAACGTTTGAGACATTTTTGAATTTCAGGTGATATTCCATTTCTTTACTTTATATATCCTTAACTTTAATGCATACAGTTAATTAGAAAAGATTGTGAAGAATTTAAGTACGTTACATTAAATTTAACTCTTGTTTAAGAACTTTATAGATATTAGCCACCACTTATTATTATTTTGTTTCAACTATTCGAAATTGACTAATTTTTTTACAGTTGTGCTCATTCTTTCGAGCATTCAACTGCTATTATTACCTTCCCTTTATAAATAGATGAATTTCATCAATTCATCTATTTATAAAGAGACTAACATTGAACTAGAAATATTTTACCAGTTTAAGAAAAAAAATTACATCTCAATTCCCAACTCTCATGGAAACTAGTCAGTTTAAATTTTCTGTTCAAAAAAATAAAACAAAAACCTTTGTTTACTAAAAATTATCTATAAAACATTAAGAAAGCTAAAGTTACATAAATAACAATAAAAGGTATTTCAATTACATATTTAGTTCCAATAAAATATAACATTCCAACTTTAGAAAAAAATACTGTAATAATAATCTCCTTTAATAAATGAATTAACTTTTTTAAAAATTATATAAGATTGAAAAATAGAATGTTATAAATTACTAACTAATTTAATACATTTAAATGAAACCCTAAATTATAAATGGAAGAGATAATTACTTATGGTTCCACATTGCACGTGATGCCTCAGAGTCTTTTAAAATGAAAGTTACTCTGTCTGTTTCCTACAAGGAATAATAACGAAAAATTTCTAAATAAGTTATCAAAGAAATTAAATACATTTTTAAGATGTGCTCTAATATGAACAATTTAATATGAAACAAAGAAATTCCAAAAAACCTTGCTCAGAATTTTCAATTTTAAGACTTGTTTTATAAAAAAAATATATAAATTTAGAAAAATAAAATTTATTGGAAAATTACATAACAAAGCAGACTGTAAACAATTGCAAGCAATGTTTGTTAGTATATATTTGATATGAAGCTAAAAATATGAGGGTTCTAGATAGAACTTTCACTATACAATAATTTGTATCAGACAATAAATACATACTGTTAGGATATTTTTGAAACAGTAAAAGAAATTTATGCAATAAAAAGTCCTTTAAAAAGCTCATGGCTTTAACATTAGCAAATTGACTATAACTATCAAACATATAAAAATTGCCTAATAAGCATTAAAAACTAGATTTTTATACTAAACTGCTATGAAAAGAACTATAAAATATGACTTTAAGACAAGCATTTACTTAATGTATAATTGTATAATAACACTTGCAGCTAATACTGTATAAAATTTTAAGTATAATTATGAAAAGGAGAAAAAATAATTAAGGAATATAAATATTGCATATGTTAATAAACTTGAACTGAGTAACATTACTGAGTAAGATTTAAAATTAATTTCAATTCCTTACTTGTTCATTTTCTTTCACACACCACTTAGAGCGACGTGCAAACCCATGCTGTGGACCACACTCCCATGGACCAAATTGAGCTAATTTAAATAAAATACACTTATGATAAATTTCCTTAAATTTCAAAGATTTTTCAACAATTAAGGGTTAAGTAGGGTTTAAGATGTAAGGGTTAAGTATTTTAATACAGTTAAGTACTAACATAACTTCCCCTATTATCCAAGTGTAAAAAATTTATAACTGGAAATTGCTATATTGAAATTGCACATAAATATGGTAATTATTTATTTATTAGTATAATAATGACAAACATATGCTATACTTAAAAAGAAATTGAAAACTTACAGAATGATCAATAATAATACAACATATTTTTTTTTAAATAATTTAATTATACCATATAAAACAATAAACTAAAAAATTATAATGAAAAAATTATATTTTGGTAATAAGCAAGTATTTTTACATAATACGTTGAAAGAGCTGAAAGTTTACACTAAATCAAAAAGTAGTGAATACCATACATTTTAACTGAAAAATATAAGAGTAAAAGGAATTAACATCTTCTAAAAGGAGAGACTTAAACTTTTAAACAAGTAAATGATAAACTTATAGTATTTTCTAAATAAACATTTACAAAATCTGATAATACAACCTTTTAAATAAATGCTTATGAAGTGTTATAAAGGATGATGGAACATTCTCTTTTAATTACTCATACTATATAGTTCATAATGAATTATGTTTAACTATAGATTCATTAGTGACTACCTAGAATAACAATCTAGGCAGCATTTCTATTCCTTTATTTAAAGGGTATTTACCTGGAGAGAAAAAAACTTTAATATTTTTTTTAAAACTTTTATCAAATGATTAATTGTCCATGAAAGTAGGCTATTTCAAAAGTTCACACGAACTCTATATTTGATTGTCTTGCGAAAAAGAAATTTAGTCACTCATAGTCATGAACAACTCAGGTCAGATATTCTAATGGATGTTAAAATAATATTATGTCTATAGAATATAAAACAGGACATCATATATTAATCAACAATGGGAAGTTTGCTGTAATGGGGTCATAATAAAGAGCATAGACTGTATAAAGAGTTTAACACATTTATCATCCAACAGTAAACAAGTATTTTTGGGAATTTCAAAAGTACGTAAAAAAATACTCATACAAAAAAGCTAAAATTCATCAAATTTTACAAAATGTTGAAGAATTAAAACATGAGAAATGCAAAAGAGTATGGTCCATAAAATGAAATAAATATTTGTTATATGTAATGTTCGTAATTTTTTCCCAGATTAAAGAAATTTTAATTGAAATGTGTCTGGCCTTATGTGAGTATAAAGCAAATATAAATGTGAGTATAAACAAACACCTCTAAAATCGTTTTGCTCATAACAATAACTTTGAATTAAAAAAAAAAAAAGATTCAATAACCATTTAAGTCACTTACGAAAGATAACAGGAACTCCGCCTCTTATTGGTTTTTGTCCATCAAGCTTGGAATTCTTGCTAAAAACAAAATATGAGAAGTAGGCATTAACCGAGTTACAAAACTGAGAATAACAAAAAAAATAGGACAATTACAGAACACTTCATTTTTAACTAATTTTAATGGTTAATTTACTTATTATAAAAGAAAAATAACTTATCATAAAAGAAAAAAAAGTCATTTGATTTTTCCTAATTTTGAATAAATGAGTAAACATGTTAAAAATATGCAATAACAATCAAACTATATTTAAATAGTAATAATTTATTAAATTAAATTTATTAAATCCCACTCAGAAACCTAAGGAATTCAAACTGATAAATACACAAATTGACATACAATGTTTTTTAATTATGAAAAATTTTGACAAATCAGACAAATTTTTTGACAAAAAAAATGTCCTGCCTGAATTTCCCTTAAAACCTCACTCACATGATTACACATATTCTGCTGCTCAACAAAGTAATAACAACAAATATTGAGAATCAAAAGAAAAAATATATAAGAGATCAGTCAATTACTGGCAACCACTTAAGTTTTACTTAATCTAAAATATATGTCTAAATTATGACATCAAAGAATTAAAATCAACATTTAGAGTGATAATAACAAACTACTCATAGCTATTAACTATAATTTAAACTGAACAGTTATAATATAGCTGATCATATTGATCTTAAAATACTGAGAGTACCATGTTTTTAGAAAAATCAATTAATAGTTTAAATAATTTTGGCTAAATTTTTTATACATATGATATGTAATATTAATCATTACTAAGTTTTTGGCAGTTTTGGTCAGATTTAGATACTTTCGACAGGTTTTTGGCGTGTGATGTCAAAAGCCCAACACTGAAATTAATATTTATTAACTTTGCCAGTTACTAACCTTACAAAGAGAACTTCTTTTCCAAAAGGTTTCCAAGATGTTAATGTTGCACCTAAAAAAATTGAATAATATCACAATATAAAGAGATTAAAACTTTTTTCAACAGTTTAAACTTTGAGCGCACTTTCAAAACCAGTAGCAGCAATTTACAGAGTCAATCTGAAGCGCTTTTTCAGAAATTCGAATTTATCTGCCATTTTCAATTTTAAACGGTCATACTTTAGCTTTGTCGAAGATGAGAAAAAATAGATGCTTATACAAAGCCCAATAAAAATAACAGAAAGGTTTAACCTGCAAATGATAATATTAAAATAAAATATTTTAATTTTTAATGGAAGAAATTAACACAATTACAGTTTAAAGTGTTCTAATTTGGGTATATGAAAAGTTTCTTTAAATGAAATTCATGTGGATAAATAATAGGATAACCAGAACTTTGTGGATAAATAATAGGATAACCAGAAAAATAAACATTTAAGTGTCTTTTTTTTGTAGCAATAATTTTTTTAATGGAAAATTATTTCTTATTTTTCATAAGTGAATGCAGAAAATTCTTTTATTTATTGCTTTATCTTAAATTTTTAGCCCTTAATAGTTTTTCATACTATTAATTTTTCTCCCTAGATGCTCTTTTTAAAAAAAAATCAGGAGTGGAAAATTATCTGTAAACATTACGATAATCAGCAGCACTTGCTGCTGTCCTGGAAGATTTGTGCTACCAAGCTTATAAACAGAATTACTTTCATAACTTCTAGTACTACTTGAAGAGAAAGAAAAAAAAGGAAAAAAAACAAGAAAATATTTTTTACGGCAAAAGATACACCTAAACTGAAGAATTTAATAAAGCACTATTGAATTTATAACCAATATTTTGCCCTTGCCCCAGGATATAATTTCCTTAAATCTATAGTTATATACAATTCAGAAAAAAAAACATCCTGAATAACTTTGGATCTATTGATAGGATCTTCATGTTCTAGGACTCAATTGTAATGGTGCAAGGGGTGGACTTCAAATATGGTAATTAATTAGTACAGAAGATATTTCAAGTTACGAATTCAAAAACAAAAACGTACTTTCTTTAAATAAACATACCTTTTTTCCGAATTGAATATCCAACTCTAAAAATATAGAAGGTAGCCAAAATTTGGAAAAAGTTATCCCAATAGCTTAGTCAGAAGATAAGTTTAAAGTTAGGACTAATTATCATTAACGTTATGTCCTTTTTTGCTAATTTTGTGAATAATATCTCAAAATAAAATTTTGCACACAATTTGAAAATTCATTCATCCAGTGATAATTCCATATCAAAATTAATTTTAGAAATTATTTATTATGTTTTCTCACTTAAGTTAATATTGGTACAAAAATTTTGAGCTGTAATGTATGCAAATTTTTACATAATTATAACGAATGTAATTTTTTATTGCAAAATACAGTTAGAACGATCTCAGTCAGTTATTAAAAAATCAAATTTTAAATGTCAAAGTATTTTAAAACTTGATTTCTCCGGAACTATTGGTTCCAATTTTGTATTTTGCCAAATAAAATTACATTATTTAAAATTATGCAAAAATTTGTATTACAATTCAAAAATGTTTTGATTATTACTAAAAAAATTAATTGTTATTAAAAGTTATTTTTTGCACGGAATTATCTGAAATAAACGATTTTTTTGTGATTGTGTACAAATATTTTTCAATATTATTCAAAAAATATTCAATTTCAAGGTATGCAAATTTTTGCATAATTTTAAAGAATGTAGTTTTATAGACCACAATACAAAATTTGAATGAATCAAGATGGTGACCCAGTACATGAAAGTACAGTTATTAGATCAAAAGTAATTCAAGGAGATTATTTTTCTCGAACTGCACACATTATTAAAAATTCAAGTATGCGAGAAAAAAAATTTAAATAGTTTTAATAAAATTTTTACTTCAGATCAACATGAATTTTCATTTTTTCCCCCATTATTAATAAAAAGTTTTACTTTTGACACATATCAAATTAATCCCATTTAGTTATTTAATAGGACATAAGTTTCATTTTTAAATATTTTTTTTACTGTAAGCATAAGCATCATAACACATTTTAAAAGCAGTAGAATGAAGCAGTAGGTAATGAGAGTAGGGTGAGAATTTCAAATAGTTAAAAGGATAAAATGATTTAAATTAAATTCAATAAAATTAAATAAAATAACAGAAGTAAACTAAAAAAACAATAATAAATAAAAAATTCAGGTTCAAAAATGTTAAAACAAGCCATAAGTAATACATATACCATATAAATAAATTGTAGCTGATGAGTTTCCTTTTTTGATTGTTATCATTTCCTCAGACTTGTCAGACATTTTTCCAACAAAAATTTCACAAAATTTAAACTAACTCTAAGAACTTAAATATTCGGAAAAATGAACGCTTATCTAAAAGTTGTCTTGACCTACAAAACAAATGGATAGTACGTTTTTTTAATAAGCATACATTTTAATTAGACCGAAACTACTTTTGCCAATCACTAAAAATCCAACCTGTTGATAATTGAAAATGATATAAAGGAAAGAAAAGTATATTATTTTACGTTTTTAGCTTGTAACTTTCTTTGACAATAAAAACAGAAGTAGAGCCTCGTTCCGCTTTTGCAATTCATAATCTGACTTTGATTCAATCGGTTGGTTTTGTTTATTCAAAACACGTTTGTAAAATTGTAAATTTGGACGATAATTCAAACTTTCTGATCGTACAAAATGGAAAGCAGTTGATGAGATTAATCTAGTGCAAATTGAAAAAATATAAACATCCAATGTAAACATATTGTTTTGTTAATCTAATTTTTTTGTATTGAAATATTAATTTTATTCGAAAAAACGTTTACCATTTCTTTTTTTGAAAACTTTTAATACTTTTATTGCGAAATATAAGTGTATATTTAGAAAACTTATGAAACAAAATTCAAAAACAAAGATAATTGGGAAAAAGGTTATCTTGGTTCCATATAAGAAAATACATGTGGAAAAGTAAGGAAATTAGTGCCTGTTTATTGTTATCAAAATAAAGCTTTTTTTTTAGTTTTACTTTTAATGAATGAGATAGAACAATTTTAAATAAAATTATTGGTCATATACTTACTTGCAAAAATATAAAAAGATTTGAAAAATGTCTGCAGCGCTCAAGAAATAGACATCCATTCTCAAGAGTCACTAATTACCAGACCTGTCAGAATTAGTTACCTTATTGATATGAGGATAGTTTTTTTTTCGGTACATGTTTTTATTTCAATCGCCATTGCGCCAAAGGGATTTTAAACTTGCCAAAGGGGATTTTTTTACAAAAATAAGTAGATGTCTGCCTGCAGATAGTGAGTCCTCTTCTGTGATTTTTTAGTTTCTCAAAACTAGTCTCTTCTTAACTTAATCCTCAAAACTAGGTGATTTTTTTTTACCGCAGTTACCATTACAAAAATATTCCATTCCATTTACTATAGGTTGAATCTATTGTAAAATTAAAATAAAAACGATTATAAATTGTGAATATTTTTTAGATTTACTTTCGTTAGTTCCAGTACATTTTATAAGGGACTCACATACAATGGAAATATTTCTGTATCAGCTATGTGCTAAAGTTGCCAAATTTAACTGAATAAAAGTCGATCGACACGGCAGTGGAAAGTATGAAACTTAAAAATTTTTAAAATATCACAGAAAGGGACCGAAATGATAGTTATAACTCATAGCTACCCTAGGGCATCCTATCAATTTTTTTTTCTAAATAGTTGCAAGTATGAAAACCTTTGTGGTGATAGTTGACTTAAAAGGATGCTGATATGGAAATGTTCTCTGTACAATTATTTGACACTTACATTATACATTTTTTAATGCATATCTTGCATAATCAAAGTAAAACTTAATAATTAGTACCATAAATAGATATAAAATGAAGTGGTTAGAAATGGCCAGGGCCGATTCTAACCACTTGGCCAACCGATGGCCATTTTTTTTTTCTTTAATTTCATTAATACAAGAATAATTTATCTTATCAGGTTGCTTAAAATGTACAGTTTGAAACATTTTATCTTCGTTTTTATACCCTGTTATTATTTGTTATGTATCACAAGAATGATCTATCAAATTTAAAATATTTTTTACGTCATCTTTTTTTTAGGAGTTTATCAGAGGAATAAATGGGATATCACCCTTCTTAAGTGATATCAATCAATCAATAAATATTGGATATGTATTAAAGCATTGTATGTACAGTGCACAAAAAAGAAAAAAAAACCATCCTGAATAACTTTTGATCTAATGATTGGATCTTTACCTTCTAGGACTTAATCTTAATGGCTTGAGGGGGGACCTTAAATATGCTAATTAATAAGTGCAGATGATATTTTATGTTACAAAAACAGACACAAAAATCTATTTTCTCTGAATAAATATATCTTTCACTTACCCAAAATATAGGGAGGGGGAGGCCGCAGTCAGGAAAATATGGTCTCGATAGTTTGTTCAGAAGAACGCTCCAAAGTTTGGACCCCTTAATGTTAATTTTACTTTTCGCCTATTTGGCTATATCTTGAAAATATTTTAAGGGAATTGAAAATTTTTTGCCCACAATTATAAAATTCATTTGTCCAGAGGTACTTCCCTGCAAAAAATAACCTTTATTTTTTATTGTTTTATTTAAGAATGATTAAAAATAATGAGTTGTAAGGTTGACAATTTTTTTATTCATTTTAAAGAATGTAAATTTACATGCCAAAATACAAATTTGGTTCCTGAGCAAACGAATTTTATATATCTGACTTTTTTTAAATTCAATTTCTCAGGAAGTATTACAATTCGAGTATTTTCGACCATTATTAAATAAAATAATAAATATTTACTAAAAGTTATTTTTTGTATGGAATCAGCTTTGGATAAACAAATTTTATAATTATGGGTAAAGATTTTTCAATTTGCTTAAAAAGTTTTTGAGATACAGCAAAATATGCGAAAAACAAAATTAACATTATGATGTCCAAACCATGAAGCACTCTCCTGTCCAAAATATTGGCACCATATTTCCCTGATTGCGGCTACCCCTATATTTTGGGGGTCAGAAATCCGAATCCATTGAAAAAAAAGGGATGTTTGCTCAGAGAAAGTATGTTTTTGCATTTGATTTCGTAACTTAAAATATTGTCTGCACCCCCTTGAGCCATCAAAATTAAGTCCTAGAACATGAAGGTCCGATCATTAGATCAAAAGTTATTTAGGGTGGTCCTTTTTTTGTGCACTGTTCACTTTTAATAAAACTGTCCTTACCATAGGTACCATAGATGGATGCAAAATGAAGAATTATTGGAATTAACAGCTTCAGAGCCTTTGACTTTAGAACAGGAATATGAAATGCAAATTTCTTGGTTTGAAGATGAAGATAGTATGATAAGATTTTATCTTGTATTATTCTTGTTCTTGAATAATGTTGAAAATTTAATTGTAAATATCTTTTTTAGAATGCACTTTTATTGTCTTGGATAAATCAATTTTGGATCATACTGGTGATGAAATAGGTAAAGTCTAAAAATTATTGCAAATTTATTATTTTCGATTTTTTAATGTGCAAAATACAGTCTAGAAATATTCCAGTAATCATTCAAAATTAATTTTATTTGCAGCTTCAATGATTGGTGATGTGAATTTATATTTAAATAATGATGGCTGCGACAAAGAAGCAGAAATAGAAGTTATGATAGCTGGTAATATTTACAAAAAGTTTAATTCCTACCTCATCTTTTAGTATGATATTTAATATATTATGCATATATAATATGATATTATAAATGAGTACTTAGCCTAATTAATGTATGTTCGTTTTATTTGTTGTAAATAGCATTAGATATAAATGTTTAAAAAAAATTTTTAAAAAACGCAAATTTAAAAATTTTCTCAGGCTTTGGCCAAGACTATTTAAATTTTTTACCCTCTACTTATACCTATGACAAGCCCTTATGTAGAAGAAAATTGCGTATAAGAATTTTGTTGAAGAATTTTATGTATAAATAAGAAATAGATTTTTTCGGATAATAGGTAGATCTTTTAGTTTAAGACATTATGCACCTTATTCTATTCTCTATTTTGCAGAAGTCTCAACAATTCTGTATATTGCAGTTTTCCAGTTGTGATTTTCAACTGTATATATAATTTTGTAATTTAATATATTTTATAAAAAGTTACTGAAATATAATCATTATGTTTTATTTAAAAAAAATTGCGAGAAAAATCAGAATAATACTTTTTATTAGTAAAAATGTATTATTTTCATGTATTTTGTCAAATTATATTTGTTTGGAGTCTTGTTACAGAATATTTTGAAATTAGAGCTTCTGTTTAGACTCAATTATATGATTTTTTATTATTATTATTATTATGCTCTGGACAATTCCATTATACAAAAGGCAACATACAAATAAATAAGCATTTAGTAGCATCTCTCCTATAACAAATTTCTTAGTTTTTTACTAACTATTTTAGATTTCAAAAATAGTAGTTAAGTATTTTGTAATTGTTAAAAAAAAGTTTATTAAAATTTTACTGTAGTTAGCATTTATAACATCAGTCACTTAGAAATTTTAATATAAGTAACAAATATTTTTTTCTCTGTTTACCAGTTTCTATATGTTATTTCATGCATATTTTTAATGTTTCCTGTTGGTTTGTTGTTGTTTTTATATATATATATAAAATTTCAACAATCCTATTATTGCTTAGGAGAATTTCAAGATACAAATATGATCTACTCCATGTCTTTTCTACGTAACATCAGTCACATTTGATATTTTTAATCTTAATTTTCTAAATAAAACATTTATAAATTTCATCCTTATTTTCTTATATGCATAATAATATTAGGCTATTGAAAAAGAAACATATAATTCATTTTAAAAAAATTATAAAATAGTGATCAATGAAAAAAAAATTCATATAATAATAAGAAAATCTTTAAAAAATCAAAAAAATAAGAAAACCTTTCATTGTGTAATGTCAGTCTTCAAAGAATTCCCCATGTATGTATTTATCTATTATTGAGGTATTTATCTGTTATTAATTTACTTCTTGAAATAATTTAAAATACTTTTGATATTAGTAAAACAATTAAGTTTTAAATGAAACCATATTTAACTAAATTTGTATGCTTATATTTTAAATATTTCATTTATCATATTGTCTGTAATTATATAAAAGTCAAAGTATTGAAATATAAAACCATCAAATTTTAAATTAGTTATAAACCAATCTCTTTTTTAAAAAATCTATCAACAGATTAACATTTATTTTCCCGTGTTCTTCATATATTTTTGTTTTCAGACATCAAGCATCGCTCTATGGGTAAAGGCAAAGAATCATTGTTATTTATGCTCAGATATGGTATGTGTTTATTTATTTATTAATTTATCTTTTTTTTTTTTTATGTTAGTAATGAAAATATTTTGAGAAACTTTAATTATGCAAGTGTGTGTTTTGAACTTAAACTTTCTTTGTGAAACCTTTTTTTTTATGTTTGGAAAGTGTATCTTGATTTCCTTTTTTGTATTTTAGGTTTAAAAAATACTTTTATTTTTTTGTAAATGCTGTGTTTTTTTATATATATATATTTATTTTCTTGAAACAATCATATCCATATGAAACTGATTCTGAATTGTTTATTTGGTACTTCCCATAGTTTATTTGGTTATTGTTTCTGATTTAAAACAAATATTTATTATCAATTTTGTTTGGAAAGAGAGAAATAATTATAGAGTCAAAATGTGTCGCAAATTTCTTTTGTAAAAAAACATCTTAACTATAAGTATACATTATGCATTCATTTAGATTTCTGTGTTAACAATGCACTAAAAATAATACACCTTCAGTGTTGGAAGAGCTGCTCAAGTCCTGCTTACTCTAAACTGCTCCAAAACAGCAAGCAATTTTCATTCACTTTTTCGTTGCCTTGTCAATTATCGCCGTAAATATGTAAAAGGCGTGGTTTTCACAATCTTATGTTAAATGTATTTACTACTCATTGAGCCACAATCTGTTCATGTTCATGCGTACCGTCATACACATCATATGAAAGTGCCTATCATTTTACATGATGAACAACTTACTCGCAGATCCGCATACACATACAGATTTGGATTTTTGACAATCAAATTGCGATAGCCATTGTGGCTCAGGAAATAGAGCATTCGATTTTCAATGAGGAGAACCGGGTTTGAATCCCAGCGATGGCTGGTCGATACGAATTCCACACCTAGCTTGTCGACAACAGTGCCGACGTAAAAATCCTCAGTGGTAGACAGATCATGGGTTATAGTCCCTTTGCCGTCAGTCTAACTAAAGGATGTTTTTGTGGTTTTCCTCTCCATGTAAAGCACATGAGGGTTAATTCCATCAAAAAATCCTCCACGACGATATATTTCACTCAATACTTGATCCAGGAGTTTCCTTATTTTCTGTAATGAGTTCAAAATAACAATGCTATGGAGTTGGGCATTAGTAGTCGTGAATCCGAAATTGGGTCAGCTGATCAACTACAGTTATTCACGTACACTGGTTTGGATTCTTCGGGAAGGATTTTTCTAACATATATTCTATTGTAATATGAATTTCTTAAGGTTTTGTTTATTTAATTTTCTACACATCTTTATCAGTTCAATGTGATCAATAATATTAATCTTGTAAATGTTTTTGTTTTGCATAAATTTATAAATATTTTTATTTAAATCTGAGAATTTCATCCGATAACTTTTATAAATTCGAATTCAACCTATTGTAATTTTGAATTTCTCAAAAGGTTTTTATTTTTTGTTGAAAAATTTGGCTAAACACCCTAAAAGAGGTGGAAGGTTCATATTTTAAATAGGGATTAGCTTTTTCTAAAAAAAGACCCAGAAATATCGAAATCCTGCTTTCTAAAACCTGTAGTTTCCAAAGTACAGCTGAATCACTGTTGTCATTATATAACATTGTATTAGAAATATTGGAATTAAAAATTTTAGGTGGAAAAAGTAGACAAAAAATTCTATAAAGGACAAGAATTTATTATAGAATATATAAAAAAAATTATGAATATGGAACAATAAAGAATTTTTTTTTTAAATTAAATTAATACAAATAATCTTAAGAAAAAGTAATCTGTAAATTTTCAATAGAAATATCTGTTGAGTTTTTTTTCCTTCATTTTTTGTGATTTATAATAATTGTTTATTAATTGTGATAATTTTATTCGTTAGTTATGTGATTTATATCTAAATTTGCTTCAATAGTTACAACAATGTTAATGCTCTATATATAGCAAATTAATTTAAAAATTTAAGAGCAAAAAAGTTAAGCTGATTGAATTATTTTTTATTGTTAAACTACAAGTGCAGAGAAACATTAATTGTGAACTACTAGGTGTTCAGGTTCACTAGTTTAAAAGATCAGTAGCTTATTTCAAGAATTTATTAATCTGATATGCAGTTTCTGACTTCTTATGTTTTCAAAAACGAATCAAATTTTAGCTTATTCTCAACATATCAAAAAAGTGCCCGTTATTTCTCTAAAATCAAAATAAAACTTTATTATTAAAGATATTAATATTATTGAATTGTTCTAAAAATTTTTCTACCAAGAAAAATTTTATTTAAATATTTTATCTCTTAATAAATTCATGTTTTGCTTTCTCAGGAATTGACACTTTAGGAATAACCAAATTTGTCACTAAAATAAAGATGAAGAATGAAAAAAGCCTAAATCTATTCAAAAACATTGGTTTCATTCAGGTAATATAGATAAAATATAACTTAAACTGCTTTGCATATATTTAAAAAAAAATCATTAAATAAAATTTTAGAGGGTGGAAAACGAATGACAAATAGGCATAAGTACTAAATTCTTGTTTGCATTCATAACAGAGGTATCTACAGTTTTACCCCATTTTAAGTTTTTAAAAATATTTTTAAAAGCCTCATTTTTTATGTACATATTTGTTTAGTTATTATTTCTTTTATGTTAATTATAAGAATGGCAATTTTTACCATTTTGGATTATAAAGTTTAATAATAAACCTTTTTTCACATTTGAATATTTGAGAGTGAAATATTAATCCATTTAAAGTGTATATTTTTTATATTTTTGTTCAATACAAGGCAAAAAAAAATTTCTTTTCTTTTTCAGACAGGAGAAAGTATATTTTTTCAAGAAATTGAACTCACTTGCCATGTCACAAACAATTGGAAGAAAGGACTAAATGAACAAACAGATGCATATCAAATTGAAGAGATTAAATAATTGTGAAATGAATTAAGTGATAGTAAAAATCTCCTTTCTAGTATAATTGACTACTGAATATTGAATGATATGTGATACTATGTATAGGATTTATGTTGTACCCAATGATGTTCTAGTTATTTTTTTCTTTGTAATCAGTCCACTTGATATTTTTTAGTTCTTTCTTGACATATGATGTTCATTTAATGATGCTGATGTCTTATTTGACTGGTTTTTAATTCTGGCAAGTGTGCCTTTTTAAGTAAGCCAGCGTAACTATGGGCAAGTGTGCCCTTTTAAGCAAAAGTATTTTTTAAGACATAAGTTCATATCTTTTTATATATATGTATATACATGTGACTAACTTAAAGTGTAAATAATAGTCAAATAAATCAAAATAAGTGTCATTGCTTAATCTTTTTTCTTTTTTTTTTCATTAGGCAAATAATTAATATTATGAAGGTCAAACATTTGACAACATAATAAACATTGAAAAAAAATCTCCCTCACAGATAAAAATGTTTAAATGTCACAGAAATAGTGTAAAAAAATATACAAATAAAGAAAAAAAAATTTAAAAAACTGTATTGTGATTGTTTGAAAAGCAACCTACATGTTTTTCCTTCCTCTTCAATCATTTGTTTTGGAATTCTCAATTATGTATCAATAACTAAAGTAATTTACATTTTATGGAATAAAATTGTTATTTTTAATTTGTCTCATACGAATTATTTTAAAAAAATAGTTACCTATATTTCTTAGTTTCTAGAATGCATATTATCAAGAAGTGGCACTTAGTTCTAACTTTTAAATGTTAATTTTTTACCTAACGTTGTAACAGAATAAATTATAAAGCTTTTCTTAACTTTACTGTTATAGTCCTTGAACATGCAAGAAAATTGCCAGAATAGTGAAGTAAAGCCTTCAAATTTGCTCCTAACAAATTTAACGCAAAATTAAAATTAACGCTCCTTACAAAATTAACTATAATTTAATTTTAACGACTTATTGTTTTTCCTTGCTTGTTTTAACTCCAACTTATGTTCAATATTTTATTGTTGCTTAATGTATATAAATCTATAAATTACTTTTTATAGGAAATGTTTTGTTTGTTGTTTTTAAACAGTTCTTAAATTATTATTAAAAAAAATATTTTCCTTATTATTTGTTGCATTAGGAAACTACAGTCGAACCCCGCTATAGTGAACCTGGGATATAGTGAACACTCGGATGTAGTGAACTTTTTTAGCGGTCCCGTCCGTATTCCTATTTAAATAATGTTATTTTTAACGCTTATAGTGAACAGCTTAGAACTTGGAAACTCGATTATAGTGGACTCAAATTTCATTTGTTTAAATATCTTTTTCAGTCCTCCATCTTTAAACTTGTAGGTGTTGGGACTGAAACTGAATGCATTCCTATAAAATGTGTCATATTACTCTCCTTTATGCTTATCACTTTTAACTATACTGTAATAAATGTCAAACAGATCATTTATCTTATACTCCCCCTTCCCTGACAAGCCTCGCTTTATCTCTTTTCCCCAAGCTTGCTCTACAACTAGTTAACTTGGCCACCTGCTGAATTTTTGGAATTTTCTTATCTGTTCAAACCATATTCTTTACAAATCACCCCTTGACAATCAAGAAGGGGAACAATTTAACTCATTCTACAGCTGCTCTCTTCATATTCTTACATTATCTATTTGAGACAAGATTTTTATTTCAAAAGCAGTGAAAATGGCAAATTCTCTAAAGAGAAAAACCTTTTCGATAGAGGACAAAGTTAAAATTGTAAAGCGTATTGATGATGGAACCAGTCAATCGACACTGTGTAAGGAATTCTCCTTGTCAAAATCTGCAGTTTCAAACATTTGGAAAAATCAAAGTGCAATTCATGCGGCATACGAGAAAAACATGGTTTCATTGAAAAAACTGCGTGGAGCTGAAAGAGAAAAGGTAGAAGATGCTTTGTCAAGATGGTTCGAAATCTTGTTCAAAATGTAAAAATCTTGCATTCTTTGCACATTGTAGATAAGAAAATTGATGAACTCAATTTAAAATCAAATTGTGTTCAATCAAAAATCACAAATTTTTTTCATAAAAAGTGAAAATAAAACTAATATTTAGCGACGTAATTACTTTTTCCATCAATTTTTGCTTTATTATCTGTTAATTAGTTAATAATTTTTTAAATAACTTATGCAAAATTGCAAAGCCAATTTTCAATCATTCAACTGTCTTATGCAAAAAATATTCTTCAAAAAATTTGGATATAGTGAACCATCGGTTATAGTGGACACATTACTGAGTCCGCAGACGGTTCACTATAGCGGGGTTCGACTGTATATATATAT